TCAGGTGGAAAACTTAAACCAGATATAGATGATGAAAAAGGATTAACAAAATATTTAATTATTTATTTATGTGCTAAAGATAATGACTATATGATTAAAAAACAATAATTCAATTATCTTTTTATAATTCTTAAATCTCCTGTTAAATTATCTATTTTTAATACTTCATTTTGATTTATAGATTGATATAAATAATAAGCAACAGAATTTGTAGCTGATCCTGCTGTTTGTCTATAAATATATCCAAAATTTTCTTTAGAATATCCTTTAAATATAATAATTGTTGCAATTTGTGTTTTAAATGATGGATTTAATGCTTTCCAAATATGTAAATTCACAATAATTGTTGTTTTTAAATGTCTTAATCTTGTAATAATTTCTCCCCATGTTTTATCTTCTTTCATTAATGCAAATGATGCATCTTCTAATATGATTAATAAATGTTTTTCTTGTGGTTGTTTATAATATTGCATTAATGCTGGCATAAATTTTTCATAATTCATTCCATAAATTGGTGTTTTAATTAAATCTTTTAATTCTTTAAATGTTTCATCTTCTCCTGCGTTTTGTGATACGTATATAATCGCTTCATATTGGTGTTCTATTTTGTTGAGTTTCGCTAATTCTTTCATAATAAATGTTGTTTTCCCTGCTCCTTGTTTCCCTATAATAATATTAAAACTATTATAATAAAAGAATATTTGTCGATGAACTCTTTTAATTTGATTCTCTCCTTTAATATTACTTAATCTTTCTTTAATTTCTTTATCTATTTCTTCTTCTCCAATATCATCATCATCATCTTCTTCTTCTCTATAATCATTTATATCATCATATTCAAAATTATCAAATTCCATAAACTAAAATTATAAAGATTGAATTATTTAATAGTTTGTTTGAAAAACTTCTAGTCTTTGTTCTAATAGTCCATTTCTTATTTCTTCATTTGTTTTCATTTCTTGAATATATAAATTTCTTATTTTCTCTAATTCTTTTCTTAATCGTTTATCTC